CGTGCTCCCAGGGAGGGGAAATAAAGCGGCCGCTGCTGCCAGAGGAACGAGGCACGGTGGGGGACAGCAGCCTGCCGATTCAGTGCCTTTCTAGGGAGCCAAGTCTGCTCGGAAGTGGCCAGGGAGTGGGAGAGACGGGCCGTGTGCTGCTGTAACTCAAGGCGCACGCTAGGGCTCAGAAGATGTGGGGTCTGTTCCCTGCAGTGCCACGACACCTTGGGCAAGTCATGGCCCTCCCGTGCCTCAGTATCCCCCAGCTGTAAAACGGAGCCACTGGATTCAGTGCCTTTCTAGGGAGCCAAGTCTGCTCGGAAGTGGCCAGGGAGTGGGAGAGACGGGCCGTGTGCTGCTGTAACTCAAGGCGCACGCTAGGGCTCAGAAGATGTGGGGTCTGTTCCCTGCAGTGCCACGACACCTTGGGCAAGTCATGGCCCTCCCGTGCCTCAGTATCCCCCAGCTGTAAAACGGAGCCACTGAGGCTAATTACCCACAAGGGGGGTGTTGTGAGGCTCTGTTCAATACCCTCTTGTGAGGGGCTTTGAGATCCTGGGATGGAAGGTGCTCAAAAAGCAATGAGGACTTTTAGTCTACAAATAACTGGATTTCCCTGGCCAATCTACCGCTTGTGCCGCTGAGACAGTGTGATGGAAAGGGCTGGAACTCCACTTTCAGTTGCTGTCTCTGCCACGTTAGCCGGGCCAGACCTGGTCTCCTCCATCCCCGCAGCTGCTGCTTTTAACCGTGAGGGGTTTTTTCTCGCTGTCTGCGGGCTTTATATCATCTGGGTCACCCACTGATGAAAAAAGCGCTACCAGGCATTGTACCTACCCCATCTGGAATTTCCTATTACGTCCAACATGACGGTCTCCTGCCGACAGCTTGTTGCTGCATGTTCTGGGAGGGCACTGCCCCGCAGCTGGCTCGTAAGCAGCTGGGAAGCACGACTACATTTCTTTCCCTGGCTTAGGAGAGCGATCCCTCGGGCAGCCTCAGCCCTGAGTCTGAATCCCAGCTGCAATTGTGGCCCGGTAGGTAGGTAGGTAAGAAGGAAGGAAGGAAGGAAAAGAGAAGACCCCAACAACAAAGCGAAGCGCGG